TAAGCGCTGTCAAATCATAAGTAGGTAGCTATTTTCCTCCAGGACACGATGTTAGTTTTAACCGGGGAATCTAACCTAATTTAAATATATGTTTGTAAAGTATTCATATTAAAAACTTACCAATCATGAGTTTTTAATAGCATGTATATGTTTATTCATGTCATTATATTACTTAAAACTAATATTGCACAAAACAACTTATAAACTCTACTTCAAAACAAACAATTTAAATAAGCAAAATGGCGGATTGTGTCAGCGCTACTGAAGTAGCAATCGTGTCCTGGCCGAAAACTATTTTAGCGCTTATAAGCGCTTGCTAGCGCTTTTTTCTGCCAAACGCACCCAATATGTAACAGCTGAATATCAAAGCATTCTCTCTGAATCACAGAGAATCAAACGCTGCTCAAATGGTGTATCATTTAGTTAGTATTTTGTATAAGTACTTTAATAAATTGTATTGCGTTATTTAGTTATAAGGTACAATGGGACACTGACATGTTAAAAATAACGTAAGTCCTAAAATTAAAAAAAAATAAACAAAAGTATATTCACTCTTGCCTTGACGATATCCATATTTTAATCGGATGGAAATGTACTGCCAAATTGTACTTCTCTGCTTTATGCATGACGAAAGCTAAAGCAAATCGTTAAGGTTCAAATTTGTGGTATGTCGACAACGAAGGGACTGGCTGAACGTCTGATTGCCTGATTGTGGCAAGGAAAAGAGAGGAATTAAGGCATGAAATTCCTACGCCCACTCTCTACAATATATCCTGTAGAACATTAATTTCGTTTTTAACTCTAAATCACACAAAGCTAGTACTATAATTAAATATTGAGGTTAGTACTATGATGTATACTATTTTGGAAAGATATAAATATCAAGCTAGGTTACTTTAAAAAATGCTTATCCTCTGCTATCATCTATAGTAGACTTTTACTACTAACTTGCTGTCTTACAAATTATCCCTTATTTTATATACTAAATTGAATAAAAATGATTCTATCCTATACTTATAACGTATATTAGGGTAATTTGGTCACCTTAAGCTTTGTCGACCTATAAAACCAGAACTAGGAGAAAGTCAAACACAAAGTTGTATACTATAAATAATATACTAATAAAAAAATAGCAAATGAGCTTTGTCAATAATTAGGAACACTTCGCAAATCAACTTAATAAAAACTAACTACAATACCCCGTACTAAAATCGACTAAATTATTTACTATAGTATGAACTGTTAAAATGGCGTCGATAAAGCAGCGCCCTTTTGACCCTTTATTATTTGATTGACTGATGAAGAGCTATCATATCATATAGCGTTCTATGCAAATAAGGCTGAAGTTTTTGAGCTATAAGAAAGTGACCATATTAATCGAATGATCATATTACCCTCACGTACGTTGAAAACTAACTATATGGGATAAACATAATAATTTCTTATATTTACGCGAACACTACACATTTAAATAATACTAGTTTTTTTTAAATATATTTATTAACTTTTTTATATTCCCGACGTTTCGAGCACTTTACAGCACCTATGTCCCCCCATGTTATGTAAAGTGCTCGAAACGTTGGGAATATAAACAAGTTAATATATACGCGATAAAATTCGTAAAAAAAACTAGTATTATGATATGGGATGAAATTAATTCGGTGTTTTATTTCTTATACAGATAGTAAAACCTAATTCATCTTTGTAAAAAAAAAAATCATGTAATAAACTGTGACGAAGTGAACTTACATATAATTCCTTTCTGTTGCCTACTTCATGCAGTTGTGTAATTTTCGTCACACCACGCGCGCACAATTTCTGTTGCATACTAAAATTTAACGAACTTAAGAATTTACTCGTAACTCAGAAATGTTAATTAAACATGCAATCAAAGAATACTTTAGGCAGTGAATAATATCGACAATTACAGGTAAGACGAAACCGTTACGAAATTGACAGTGGGATTGTGGGGAATGAAACGGAACACGTAACATCCATACTCGTTAGGTCGTATGACCTTACTCCTACTTTCCTACTACTTTCAAAATTCGCTTCACACGCCAATTTTTACACCTTACTGCATCATTATTAAGTTATTTGAAATGATATAATTTAGAAAGAAATGCGTTACTTTATTATTTAAAAGTAGTTATATATTTTTATTAGCTGCCAGCATTATTCATGTTTATTTATTTTGTTATAGGAGTCTCTCGGTTTTTTTTTAAATATTTATTAGAACAAAATTATTTTAAAATTTTAAAAGTATATTCGTTTTTTGTGGCGATACCAGAAACAAAAGTATATATCGTGGCGTTGATATTTGAACCAAGTCCCGTAAATTAAACATTGAACTATTCTTATTCAGCGTAGTCTAGTGAGAGGCTTGATTTTAATTTAAGCAATAGGAAGTGACTTTGTTGAGGAATTAAAATATTCGACAGTGTAAAAGTAAGTATTTTGTATCTGTGCTACGAACAGTACAAGTCTGTTCCAAACTGTAGATTTATAATAGACTAAATATGTTGCATAATATATAATATATAATAATAAGGATCTGAACAGCCGATAATTTTAGAGTATGGCTTATTTCGAATTACGTAATATTTAAGCACAAGATGGGTTTATATACTCCATTAAATTGTTATATTTATTATTAACAAAGACTGATTTCGTGCAACGTAAAACGTAATGAGTCGTGGTAGCTCAGATGGTTAATGCTCGCTGTAAATTTCACAGTACGAGTAACCCGGGTTCGATCCCCGCCGGCACCAATGAAATTTTTAATTGCAATTTTAAGTGCTGATTTACCACGTGCTCGCCAGTGAATGAAAACATCGTGAGGAAACCTGCATGTCTAAAGAATAAGAAACAAAATATTTCGAAGACGTGTGAAGTTCGCCAACACGCATTCATTTACATAATTAATTCATATTTTAGATAGATAATTAATTTAAATTTGTAATATTTAATGTTTAATATATTTAAATTTATTTTATTTTCATAATTTGATTAGTTAAATATTATCACTTTTAAATAATAAAAGTAAATGTTTCAGTTATTTTAATGAGAACCCCTCTTGCAGACCAAAGGCCTCCTCCATTTTGGACCGTTGTTTTCTCTCTTTCGCCTTTGTTTGCCAATCATCTCCTGCTATATCTTAGATATCGTCAATCCATCTTCTATGTGGCCTCCCTCGTTTTCTTATGCACTGGGGTATAAGAAAACGATGGGGTACTATGCATATATACTGTAACGTATTTCAGGCACAATTTATAAATATAAATCAGAATATTATGCTATAAGGCTTTAATGTCTGCAAAAAGACGCACTCGCACGTCGTCACCTGAAACTTGATGTACTTATTTGATACGGTTGGTCAGAATACAATGTTATATACGAGGACATTCACAATGCATTCTCGACACCAAATTCACAATATTTGTAAATTGCACATTGATTTCGAAATGAATTTGGAACTCAATTTTGAACCCACGTTTCGTTCTAACTTAAGCTAGAAATCAATTATCCAATCCTTTAATAATAATAATGTCCTCTAGACCGAATTTCGGTCACGGCCGCAGCGCCAGCATCGACGGAATAAAACTAGCATTGTGATAATTAAAGTAGCATTGTGCACTCTCTATTCTCTCACTCTCATAGTCCAATGGGACGGTAAACCTAGCCTAACCTATTATACATGGTAGAGCCATGCTGCAGTTATATTAGTAGTGTAGTTGTAGCACTAATGGGTCGGCTCGACCGGGGAAGGACCACGCTCTCACAGAATACCAGCGTGAAATAGTAGCTTAATGCTGCTGTGTTTCGTATGGTGAGTGTAGAGAACTGGAGACCTTTTTACTGGAAACGAGGCATTCCATCTTAGTCCTCACGGGTGACAACGCATCTGATTTTGACTTGTAATCGAGGATAGATGTAAATGTCTATGGGCCGCAGCAACCACTTACCATCAGGTGGACTGTGTGCTCGTTTGTCACCCTATCCTATAAAAAAACCGGCACGACGGCCAGCATTACGGAAACAGACCAGGCGCAGGACCAACGGCTTTATGTACTTTACGAGGCACGAGGGTAAGACACCAACTTCCTGACTCCGGCAGCTACTGAGTGGTTTTTTGCCGGGATTCGAACCAAGGACCTCATGATCAGTAGTCGCACTGATACAACTTATAGACCTTATTGTATATTTATATATGTATAACATAAAATAGGAAATTTCTGGCCAGTTATATTACCAAAAAAGTGTTATATTATCTGTACTTTTCTCGCGCTTCCAGCTGGCGGAGATATGAGGTGAAAGTGATTTGGCGCGCCTCGCATCCTATATTTCGCACGTCTCCTTACTAATTACTTCCCGACTCTATAAATCCAATGTGTGAACAGTTCAGGAACAGTTATTGCTCGTAAATAACATGAAATGTTTCTAGTAATTAGGCTTTTAATGAGTTAACTTGTGTCTAGATGGTTTTCGTTGACATGAAGTGGAAACAACCCGTGTCAGTTGATCCTTAGTTTATGGTCGTAAAAATCAGTTTTTGTATCATTTCTTGGTTACGTAATATCACGTTTGCAATAAAAGTTTCTTAAATTTTTTATTTCCTTCAATATAATATCTTATTTCAATAACAAATCAGTATATTCTCGGATTTGAAAAACAAAATAATAAAGACGAAGAATAAGTAAACATATAAGTATGTATGAAAAAATAACAACCATTGTTGTATCGAATTAAACCAATTTTACGGATTTTACAGCGTTTAATTTTAACTTATTTTTAATTTTTCGCGTTTCGTCAATAAAATCAGTAAATTGATTGATTTTATGCAATGAATAAATAACATTAGCGTAAATATAAAATAATAATAATATAAGTGTAGCTCTTGGACTATTCATGCAAATCGTTTAGCATAATAAAAGAACTTTTAGTAAAGGTAACTAATATACCTTTCTTACAAATAATTTTTAATGTGTTGTTCATTTCAGATGGCCCGAATAATATTTGTTTTAATCGGCATACTGGCAACTCAGAACGTAAACTGCGCTCCAAGTGATACGATAGATGAAAAACTGGATTCAGAACACGATGAACCAGCATTGAATGATAAATCTTATTCAATACTCCATAACAACGAAAAGGTTTACGGCGAGAAGTTGGAAGTTCATCGGCAGAAGAGAACGTTCCTAGACATTTCGCACAATTATCCGCCATATTATGTTCCACACTCAAACATTAGGTTGCATTTACAAAAATTACAAGAAAAATTACAGAATAAAGTGAAATTGCCGTATCATCCACCTCCACTACCCAATGTGTTTCCAGTGTATGAACCGAATCGCGTATCTCAAGTACCCGGCAGTCGTAATCCTGTAACCAGCTACGAAACTACAACTCAAGCTGCTAAATCAACATACGTTAATATAAATCCCCAAAACAAAACCGTACCAGCATTACACAACGGGCCTCCAGAAATAGAAGATGAACGGCAGATCTGGGGATTGGTTATTAATAATACAGCGACAGATCGTGATGATAACGATCACGATAATGATAACAATGACGATAATGACGATAAAAAGAAATATTATTCCAATCGTTGGACTTGGAAGTAAGGCTTCGAAGCAATAAAGCCGATATTTATGATTCAGAAGCACCACAAACTAATACAGTGAATCCTCTATGAGATGTTCCAAGTGCACATACACTTGGTGGTAATTAATTAAAATTAATTTAATAACAGAGTAGTGTTAATGTCTTGCCCTGTTCCGACTAATGAATGCTTGCAGTCATGGAGATGTCAAGACCATTACTACAGTGAAAATTCTTACCATCCGCAATATGTGCTTTGAGTTATCAGTAGGTTTCAAACTTTTACAACATAAATTTTAAGTGATAACTTTAAATTTCTAGCTGGATGGCTGACTAATATGTTATCAAATTTACTAATATATTATTATATAAAAGTAAATTACAAATTTATTTCGATTTTGATATTTTATTTAAAGTTTTTTTTATACTATCGCAATTATAAAGGTGTTTTAAAATAGATTCTACTGTAAAATGCAATAAACATGCACGTTCCTGATTTTCACATATTTTTTTTATTTTCTAAGTACAAAACAAAAAAAATTAATTACAAATTGTAAATATTCTAATTGCGCTTCCATTTATTAGCATATCTACACACATAAATACAATTGAATATTCTGTCCGTAATAAGGAAACAATTGGCTTGTATTAATTTCGAGGGGTTGTTTGCATGATATTAAGACCTAAACAACCATTTTGGACACACCTGACTATCTGTCTGTTTGTCCAACTAATTTCCGGAATGGCTGAAACACAGAAATCTAAATAATAAGGTATTTAGATTTAACTGTGGGCTGAACCGAATGTAATGAAACCTTACAAATGGATAGAGAGCAGGAGACCAGGAAAGATCTAGGCTTTTGCCGCAAAACGTGAAGATGTTTTTTTGAAAAAAAAAATTAAATGTGATATTATAAATTGTCTTTGATAAACCACATTAGTAACTCCTACCCAGGTAAAGCCGTACGCTAATGTAATAATAAATCATAAAATACTCAGTAATCGATAATTTGTTTATCAAAAAAAACTTAAGACAGTGCACTTTTTAACACCAAAATACTTTTAAAATTAAAATTACAGATATTTAAAATGTTGCTACTTACTAAAATATTATAATTTAATATAATTTTGATTTAGTGTTCTATGAAGTACACACATTTTAGAAGTATACTAGCAAGCCAAGCAGACACTGTTGTGCCCTCTCTCTCTCTCTCTTTCTTTCTCTCTCTCTCTCTCTCTCTCGCTCTGGTAGGTGGCATGATGAGTTTCACTTCGAACACACTGCGGACTTTTAACGTGTAAATATTTTATTTATTTATAGCTCGACCTATCGAACACAGATTTTTTTTTATGGGACAGGGTTACAAACGAGCACACAGTCCACCTAGTGGTAAGTGATTGCTGTTGCCCATGGACATCTATACCTATCCTCAATTACGAATCAAAATGCAGATGCGTTGTCACCCGTGAGGACTAAAATGGAATGCCTCATTTCCAGTAAAAAGGGTCTCCGGTTCTCTACACTCACAATACGAAACACAGCAGCATTAAGCTTACTTCACGCTGGTATTCTATGAGAGCGTGGTTCTTCCCCGGTCGAGCTGAATCACTCGTGCTACAACTATACTACTAATATAATTGCAGCATGGCTCTTTATGATACTAAACCAACATATTATAAATAACTCAATGACAGCGTGTCAATCTGATCTCATCGAGCCGAGTAATGTAGATCCAGCAAACGATTGGAATTTTAAGAAGTGTGATTATCAACTAATGGCTAACCTACTTTAACGCTTGTCAATGTTTCTATGACGTATGTGTACGTATAACGAAACCAAAGAAATGACGAAAATTGGGCTAAGATAGACGATATCCAATCTAGTTCACCAGTGAATTATTCAAAATAGCAAGAGTAAATTAAAATTACATACCGCTTGGAATTGTATGTATTCTGAAAAAACTTATCGTCAGTTTTCAAATCTTAAAGCAGATCTCAAATCTCGAATTGATTTGACCTATAAAAAGTACATAGAAGGGATAGAATCTAATATTAAATTCAATCCTCGAAAATTTTGGCAGAAACTTTCGAGTTACGCCATTTCACATATTTTTTCGTGTTCATTATCAAATTACAATATCGAAATGTAGATTTGAAACTAATATTACCTATACAAAATACGATGTTTTCAGGGCCAAATGCAGCGGAGACGTTCCGCAAAGCGCGAATGAGTTCAGGACAGTCCAACGCTACATGATTGAGCTGACTAAGGAAGTACCAACATTGTCGTGGTATTGCTATACCCCGGAGGAGGACAAGCCCACTAAAGTGGGCATCCGGAGTCTACCAATGGGCACGGACACCAAGGACATAGAGGAGGCTATTAGGGCAAAAGGCTTCCCCGTCAAATATGTTAAAGCAATCCCACCGCGTAGAAGCAGACCTGGCTGCATCTACTTTGCCCAGTTCGACCACCTGAGCCTGGAGCAGCCCCAAGAATTATATAAAATCGACGAACTCCTCTTTATGAGAGGAGTAGTCATCGAGGCCTGGCAAAGGAAAGCAGGACCGGCTCAATGCCACCGCTGCCAGGCCTTCGGACATGCATCCGCAAACTGCTTCAGGCCAGTGAGATGCGTGCGCTGTGCCGGGGAGCACATTGCAAGCCTTTGCCCTCGGGGTAGAGAGGAACAACCTACATGTGCCAACTGTGGTAAAAACCACACGGCAAATGACCGCCGCTGTCCAGTCCTGAGGAGGACTGCTAGGAGGCAGGGAATAACCTTGCCGGGGCTACTCCCGGAAGCCCCTAAAAAGCCCCCCCCAGAGTCGCCCGAAAGCTGTAACCATTCAGCAAGACGGGTGGGCCACCATCACTGGGAAGGGCAGGCAACCCCCCCCCCCCCACCCGTTACACCGAAAGAAACGGTGGAACCCGCAGAGATAAGGGCAACCACCGGGGCGACTCTACAGCCCCCCGCCAATCCTGCCACAGAACGGCAACCCTCTAAGAAGAGGAGGCGGGAGAGGAGCCGGAAGAAGTCGCAGCCTCCTCAGGCTGTCACCTCTACCCCGACACCAACTGCACCAGTAGCCTCACAGGCGCAGGTTACCAGGGAGAGAACCAGGACTATGGGTAGAGTGCCGGAAAGGGCTGAGCGCAGAGCCCGCTCTACTGGAAGAGCGCGCCCTACCCAAACACACAGTGAGCAAATCCAGGACACCCAACGCCCGAGACAATTGCCAACGCCTTCTTATAGGAGAACACCTACTGCCGGCCTCGAAACAGCAGACGCAATCCAGCGTCTGGTTGGTATTGCCATCGAGGTCGGCATGCAAGTACTGACAGACATCAGGACCGGGACAGACCCCATCACAGCCATCATGAAGGCGCTGGCTAACCTCCTAGCCCGGCACTACGGAGGAGAGTAACCTGCGCCTCCTATACTGGAACCCGGACGGTATACAGCAGAAGCTGCATGAACTCCGCACAGTTGCCCAGCAACAGGATCTGCACGTCATCTTGCTGGGAGAGACGAAGCTCAATCCAAGGACGCACATAAAGCTGCCCAACTACCACCTGTACAGAAGGGACGAGGTCACTGCTCAAGGGGCTGCCTATAGAGGGACGGCAGTTCTGGTGAGGAGGGACATCGTCCATCAGGAACTGGAATTACCACCATACCAGTCAATGCGTTCTATCGGCATAAAAATGGAGGCGGCGGGCGAGGAACTTAGGATCTACGCAGCATACCGCCCGCCAGGGACTCCATTTTGCCCCTCAGACATCCGGACAATAATGGAAGGCGACACGCCCACTATCGTCGCCGGGGACCTAAACGCCAAACACCCGGCGTGGGGGTCCAGAGTGATCACCCCGCCGGGTCGTGAACTTTATGAAGATGCAGAAAACAACAACTATGACGTTTTAGGTCCCGAGGAGCCAACGCACATCCCGTCCAACCCACGGAGCTATCCGGATGTATTGGACATCGTGCTCTCCAGGAACATCAACTACCCATTAGTGGTAGAGATGCTATACGACCTGAGCTCTCAGCACCTCCCGATTCTGATAACCCTTGGCACAAAGGCTGTGACTACGCCGCCCAGAGCAACCAAGACACGTGTCGACTGGAGGCGCTATGCACAACACCTGCAAGCGAGACCTCCAGCACACATGCCTATAAGCACAGCGGACGACGTAGAGGCCGCTGCTACTAGAATTACTAAAAACATCCAAGAGGCCCTCAACGCGGCCTCTACGATCGTCCCGATAACAGCAAGGCGTGACGATCTGCCGCGTGAGATAAGCGTGCAGATCAAGCGCAAAAGAACGCTGAGAAAGCTTTGGGCGCGTACTCGCTGTCCTAGATTAAAAACGCAATTAAACACCATATCGGATCTATCCTATCGAGCTGTCGGTGGCAGTTCAGGCCTACAGAGGGGAGGCCTGGGAGCGGCGCATATGGAAGGCGGATGAGCATGATGCGTCGCTCTATAAACTGAACCGACAGCTGACCAAAACTAGACCTCCCGTTTGCCCACTGACCAACAGTGTAGGCGAACGTTGCTATGATGCCAAGGGCAGAGCGGATATCCTGGGAGAGCACTTCGAGGGGCAATTTATGCCGAACCCAGCGAGTGCGGAGTTCATGGAGCTTCATGCCCGGAAGGAGAGTCGCGTACAGGAGTTCCTGTCGTCGCCCGCGCCACCTCTTGCAGGAGAGTGGTTCATCTCCCCCCGCTGAACTGCGGAGGACGGTAACCCGCCTGCAACCGAGGAAGGCGCCTGGGCACGATAAGATTACCAACGCTGCACTCCGACAGCTGCCCAACAGAGTCCTAGTAGAGATTGGTCGACTCTACAATGGGATATTGCGGACATCCCACTTCCCGGAGGAATGGAAAAAAGGCAAAATTATCGTCTTGCCGAAACCCGGGAAGGACAGGCGTAAAGCTTCCAGCTACAGGCCGATTACGCTATTACCACACATAGCTAAACTGTTTGAAAGATTGCTGCTAAGACGTCTCCGTCCGTGCATCCAACTTCGGGCGGAGCAGCACGGATTCAGGAGGGGTCACTCTACAGTCACACAGCTGACTAGAGTGCTGCACCTGCTTGCGGCAGAGTACAATCGCGGCCGCATATCGTTGGGCGTCTTTCTCGACATCGAGAAGGCGTTCGACCGGGTGTGGCACTCCGGATTATTATATAAATTACACGAGCAGACCAGTGTCCCCCCTGCTATGTTGCGGTTAATGGCGTCCTTCCTGGAAGACAGGAAGTTTTACGTTTGCATAGAGAACGCCGAGTCCGCAACAAAATCCATCAGAGCCGGCGTTCCACAGGGCAGCTGTTTGTCTCCAGTCCTGTACGCGGCTTATACCAACGATATTCCTACATTGGCAGGCAGGCTGCAAGAATGGAAGGACGACGTTGAGCTGGCGCTATTTGCGGACGATAGCGCCTATTTCACATCGTCCAGAAGAGCCCATATAGCCATTGCCAAAATGCAGCGTCTGCTGGACCTGCTGCCACCTTGGCTAAATGAGTGGAGGATGGTTGTCAACGTTGGTAAGACAACCGCTCTACTCACTCGTCGCCTCAGGAATTTACCACCACCATTGACTCTCAACGGCCAGGAGATAGCGTATGAGAAGGCCGTGACTTACCTTGGGTGCCGAATCAACCGGGCGCTGCGCATGACTGCGCACGTCGACTTCGTCGTCCGCAAAGCCAGATGTGCGCGGGCGATGCTCCGTCCGGTCCTGGCATCCAAACTACCATTGAAGACTAAGATCCGGATATACAAGATGTATATCCGGACTATTACCACCTACGCTGCTCCGGCCTGGTACGCGCTCCTGAGCATAACCCAGAGGCGGCGACTGCAGGCTCAGCAGAATCTGACATTAAGGACGATTGTCGGAGCAGGTCGTTACGTCCGGAACGACGTAATAGCGGCCGACTTAAAAGTCGAGAGTATCACCGACTTCGTGGCCCGGATGGCGCGCGGTATGTTCGACCGTGCCGATAACGGGCCACACGAACACCTCAACGGCTTCGCGCCGTTGCACACTCGGCCACCGGACGGGCGACCTCTTCCAAGAGAACTCCTCTCTATACCGATTAGAGAGTCGAGTAACAACCCACAATGCCGCTGAAAGGCCAACTTTGACTTTCAACCGGATTACCTCTTATTTTCCGTAGTAGGATAACTACGGAAAAAACTACCAAGACAACCTCCCATTTTTTGCATAGTCGGGTAAATGACTAAGGAAAAATACTATCCACTTACGGACACTCCGGTTAGGAAAAAACCACCTGCAACATAGTGGGTGAAGAAAATGACTGCCCCATAGTAATGGGGCATGAGGAAACCCGGGCAATGGGGTACACCCCGAGGCCCGATACCTGTATTGCATCTCGGTGCAATCAGACGACAAACTGGCAAGCGCGCGAATGGCGCGGCTCACTTTCGCGTATAGCTCTGGGGTAGCTCAGTAAACGAGTTTTCTTGCAATTCGTTCGGGAATCGTTCGGGAAAAAAGTTCGGGAATCGTTCGGGAAAAAAGTTCGGGAATCCTTCGGGAAAAGTGCAAGACCAGCAGTCAATAAGAAGAAAGAAAAAGTGTAGGGAAGTGATAGGGAAAAGTAATTACTCTCTCACGGAACGGTTTGAAGATAATTGCTGTTTTATTCCCAAGGAATTCATCCCTCAAAATTATACAGTCCACATCGAAGAATTAAGGCGTTGGGACCGGGACGACTTCGGAAGACCCGTAATCCCCGTCTGAACCTATTTGCTGAAAAGGAAGAGGTTATCGCCCTTGTGTGTTGCTCCGTTGCGGAGATCTCATACGTTGTTCCCGAACCCAACGTAGGCGTTATCTTCTGTTTCTTAGTTGAACGTTTACGCGCCCGTTGGTTCCTTTTCACCACCTTACATAATAAAAATGTTTTGTATGGTCACCTCTGTCATATATTCAGCCGAGCATTACACTTACACGACTAACACGAGTTACAATTTATCCTTCACAATGGAAATTCTCGAGAGTAACACCCATACCAAAAGGCTCGAACAAGACGGTAGTTGAAGAAAATCGACTAATATCAATTACGTAACGAGTCTGGCAATAAATACTGTTACATAAAAACTTTTCTTTTCTCAACATTTTAATTTATTTTTAAAAGTTCTTTCGATTTCGCGCCTTTTCAAATATTTTTTCTTGTTCATTATCAAATTACAATATGGAATTGGGGTATTAAAGAAAATAGGATTGCGGTGATCGCCTTGCACAAAGTGCGTATGGAGCCGTCGGTCATATTCCAGACACTTCAAAAGCTTGGTACCAGCCGTATGTACGTATATCGTACTATCAACAGATACAACAACACTTTCTCTATCGAAGACCATAAAAAATCGATGCGTACTGTTTGATCTACAAAGGCTGCTAATGCTGTTTAAGCCAGAATTCATCGAAATCCCATTAGGAAGCAAAAAAATCTCATCGCGAGAAATGAAGATTCCCGCTAGGACTCTATCTCGTATTATAAAACAAGACCTGAAACTCGGTACTTATTGTCGATATACAGGACATGCCCTAAATCAATCTTTACAATTTAAAGAGAGTGGATCGATCAAAACGCCTTCTGTCGTGATACGCAGGTGAAGGACACAGAAATATCCTCTTTACCGATGAAAAAGTTTTCACGATTGAAGAGCACTACAATAAGCAAAATGATAAAGTGTACGCTCATAGTCAATTGCTTATAGACAAGCTGCTCAAGTGGTCGGAAAGGTACAACGTGGTCATCATTATGCTTCAGTGAGGGTTTGGTGGGGTGTGTCTTATCAAGGCGTCACAGAGCTACATTTTTGTGAAAAAAGGAGTGAAAACTTCAAAGTGTATCAAGATCGCGTTGTGAAACCTCTCAGCAATACTCTTTTTAAAAATGTACCGTGGACTATCCAACAGGACTTTGCACCTGGTTACAAGGCACGAACTACCCAAGCCTGGCTTGAAACCAACGTTCCGGACTTTATATGAGCTAAAGACTGGCGCTCATTTAGCACAGACCTCAACCCTTTAGACTACAAATTATGGTCAGTTTTATAGGTTATGGCTTGCTGTAAACGACACGGCGACATTGAGTCTCTTAAAAAATCTCTGAAGCAAGCAGTGGCGAAATTTCCAATGGAAACAGTGCGTAAATCCATAGATTCGTGGCCAGACAGATTAAAAGCCTGTATAAAAGCCAAAGGTGGCCATTTTGAATAGAATGTTGTTTTTATTTTTGCTAAGAGCAAAATAAAAATTCTTAACTTTAAGTAATATTACATTACTTCATTAAAAAATGCATTTTCATTTGTAACAGAACTTATGGCGGGACTAGGTAGGTACATAAACGTGCAGGTGGCAAAGTACTTACGCACGCCGCAATGAGCTATACGGTTTCCGAAGCAAAAAATCTTTGGACACAAATATTTTGTTTCTTGTGGACTACATGTCTCATTTTGGTCCATTAATACAGGATTTGAAATACCTCGACTACAGCGCCACCTACATCGGATTGTAGCATAGCTATTCAAAAGCGTCTCATCAAAACAAAATAGATATTATATTGCGTGAATATGACGTCATTTGGTTAAGTCATTCAGAAGTTTTTTACGTGGTAGAGCCATGCTGCAGTTATATTAGTAGTATAGTTGTAGCACGAATGGGTCGGCTCGAACGGGGAATGACCACGCTCTCACAGAATACCAGCGTGAAATAGTAGCTTAATGCTGCTGTATTTCGTATGGTGAGTGTAGAGAATCGGAGACCCTTTTTACTGGAAATGAGGCATTCCATCTCAGTCCTCACGGGTGACAACGCATCCGCATTTTGATTTGTAATGGAAGATAGATGTAGATGTCTATGGGCCGCAGCAACCACTTACCATCAGGTGGACTGTGTGCTCGTTTGTCACCCTATACTATAAAAAAAAAGTTACAGCATCACTAAAAGTGGCAGACCAACAGACAAACTTAATAACTCCTTAGTAAACATCAAATCGAGAATCTATATACATATAAACAAAATTGATGTGCCTGACTGCAATATTCGAATAACTTGCTTGATACAAGCAGCTCAGGGCGTTGTGTGTATGCTATTAACACTTTGACGTAAATGGTATCCCTAAATTTTAACTTAAATTTTTATTGATATAGTCAATAATTAAAAACAAAACAGTATTCTTTATCAATTGTTTTCGAACAAAACTTTTTTTTAAGGTTGGTAGCGCGGCGCGTAAAAAAAGAAAAAAATATCTCCTTATTACTTTTGGATGTTTAGGCGCGCTTCGTAAACAATTTTCAAAAGTTAATTAAAATATATTTTTTGCAATTTTGATAATTTTTGTGTTTGATTGTGTAAGTAGTAGTAGTAGTCTGGTAAGTAGTCATTATGAATGATTAAAACTACTTTTACGGATTTTATCGCGATTATTTTACTTTTTATTTTTAATTCCCCCGTCCCCCGTGACCATGGGTGCTGGAAAGCGCCCGAAACGTCGGGAATTAAAAATAAAAAGTAAAAATAAACGCGATAAAATCCGTAAAAGTAGTTTTAATCATGTGTAGTGTTCGCGTAAATATAAGAAATCATTAGTCATTATGAATTTATTATTATTTATTGTAATGTTACCTATAAAAGCAACGAAAATACAAGATATATTAGTAGGGACATGGGTGTCCCAAGATGCATGAAAGGTTAACAGCTTCTAACATTCCGAATATTATATTTCATGTTCCTTATTCAATAATTATAGTAAATTTATACAATTCTTTCTTGTTTTAGGCTTGGAGGAGTACTAGAATATTTCATTTAAATAAAAAGAAGTATAGGAGTATCTCATGGCTGATAATAGTGATGATGAAGACGCACTAATCTTGGATGAAGAAGACCAGGCCTTGATTCTCCAGGATATGGAAGCTGGAGTATCTGAAGTTATAATAGTGCCCGCAGGTGCAACAGATTCCACCACAGATCCAGATCCAACTCCTGGCTCTTCATCATCTCCTGATTCGCCATTGAGTGGTGCAGTACCGGATTTCAAGTTTAAGAAGAACACTCATCAGCCTTACGAGTACTTATTTTCTGAGACTGATTATGACTTTGATAAGGTAAACATACTGCAACAGTCAGAGTCTCTGAAAACCATAGACCATAGAACCATAGATAGAGAGAAAGATATTTTTGAGGCAACTTCGAATATCGAGGCGTTGATTGAAGACATTATATTACCGGAGTAAGGACTCCGGTATATACGATATGCTCATAGCAATGGTTCAGTTTTCACTACAGACCTCCAAGAAATGACAGCTTTTATCGGTATGAATGATGTTATGGGTTTATCATGTGTTACCTACTCTCAGAAATTACTGGTCTACTGAATGGGTGGGTGAAACTGATATAGGTGTGCCTTATTTAGCCAAAGTTATGCCTTTATCGAGATTCGAAGAAATAAGAAGAAATTCACATTGCAATAATGGAGAAATATATCGTCATATTTCAAAAGAGCTTATAAAATTCGAAGAGTGATGAATCACTACAATTCATCTTTCCAATCGGCCATGAATAATACCATTCATGCATTACCCAGTCAATAGATGAACATATGGTGAAGTTCAAAGGGCAAAACATAACATCATGAAGCACTACATGCAAAATAAACCTCTTAATAGAAGTTTCAAAATGAGATGCCGCGCCGATTCTAAAACAGGATATTTATTCCAGTTCGACTTAACACGGGTAAAAAAAGGGCGGGACCAGAAATAGGACTAGGAGAGACTGCCGTACTGGATCTCACAAAACCTTTGATCGGACTAGGATGCGAAGTTTACATTGACAACTTTTTCCATTCTCCTCTGTTGCAATACAACTTAGCCAAGCAAAATATAAAATCTTGCGGCACTGTCAGCACTCAGCGGAAACATACTCCGAAACATCTACCACTAGATAAAGATATGAAGAGAGGCGATATCTATATAGCCAGTTTCGAGGGAATTTCTTTCATCAAGTGGAGGGACTATAAAGCGGTGCATTTCCTCACCAATTTCTTGTCACCAATACCTGATTATATTATAGGTATAGTTGGACCCGGTAGGTGGCGCTGTTGTAGAACCCGGATATCACCCGTGCGAAACCGTGGTAGATCGCTTTATGCGCTGCCATATCGTTCATAAGATAGCAGTAAACATTTGTCAACATATTGCTTACACTTCCGCGAAGGTTATAGGTATAGTTGGACCCGGTAGGTGGCGTTGCTGTAGAACCCGGATATCACCCGTGCGAAACCGTGGTAGATCGCTTTATGCGCTGCCATATCGTTCATAATATAGCAGTAAACATTTGTCAACATATTGCTTACACTTCCGCGAAGGTTATAGGTATAGTTGGACCCGGTAGGTGGCGCTGCTGTAGAACCCGGATCTCACCCGTGCGAAACCGTGGTAGATCGCTTTATGCGCTGCCATATCGTTCATAAGGATGGCAGTAAACATTTGTCAACATATTGCTTACACTTCCGCGAAGGTTATAGGTATAGTTGGACCCGGTAGGTGGCGCTGTTGTAGAACCCGGATATCACCCGTGCGAAACCGTGGTAGATCGCTTTATGCGCTGCCATATCGTTCATAATATAGTAGTAAGCATTTGTCAACATATTGCTTACACTTCCGCGAAGGTTATAGGTATAGTTGGACCCGGTAGGTGGCGCTGTTGTAGAACCCGGATATCACCCGTGCGAAACCGTGGTAGATCGCTTTATGCGCTGCCATATCGTTCATAAGATAGCAGTAAACACTTGTCAACATATTGCTTACACTTCCGCGAAGCTTATAGGTATAGTTGGAACCGGTAGGTGGCGCTGTTGTAGAATCCGGTATTTCACCCGTGCGAAACCGTGGTAGATCGCTTTATGCGCTGCCATACCGTTCATAAGATAGCAGTGAACACTTGTCAACATATTGCTTCCACTTCTGTGAATGTTATATGTATAGTTGGACCTGGTAGGTGGCGCTGTTGGAGAATCCGGATAATACCTGTGTGAAACCGTGGTAGATCGCTTTATGCGCTGCCATACCGTTCATAAGATAACAGTAAACATTTGTCAACATATGGTTTACACTTCCGCGAAGGTTAAGGAATAGTTGGAACTGGTAGATGGCGCTGTTGGAGAATCCTAGAAAAAAGTTCTGGGGTAACACACATTAAAAAACATGCAGTCGAATTGAGTAATTCCTCCTTTTTTGAAGTTGGTTAAAATATGTTTTGAACGAAAATAGAACAATTTAACAACAAGCTTAATAACTTTTTAAGCCGCGATTTGTTCTACAAGCGTCTTTAGAAACTAAAATCACATGTTGACGCAGCTGCGGTACGGCAAAAACCACAGAATTAGTCAAACTTAATGACAACAAATTCGTATTACTTAAAAAGCGACCGCAGACTGGAGAAAACGCAATTTTTCACAGACCAAAAATAAGTTAGCAAAGTCACTGTTACGTGTCTTTTGAATTTAACACAGTTTACGGGTCCTTTATTTGATACTAACTGTGCCCCCGACTTCGTTTGCGTGGCATTATCAATTAATATTATTGATTACGTTTTATATGTACTTTTTAATGGCGCTAAGATCCAAAAAGAGACTAATCTGGATCAAAACCTGCAGACAAACTAACGAATGAATAAATAGACGGGTCCGCAAATGAACTAATGGACGGACTCACAAACGAACCAAAAAAAACCGGTGAGTTTCATATTGTAAATAAACAACAAAATTACCGCAATAACACAAAATCATTTCTTAGTGGATGCCTACGCGATAAAAGGTAGTTACGATCCAAATTTCAGATTTCTACGCGGGGCTTTAGGCTGAGCCTTCAAGGATGAGTCGGTCACTAAGGGCATCTTCTTTTATATACATACAATTAGGATACAACGACTACACAGTTCGGATAGAATAGATAAATAGTAAACAGTGACTATCAGTGACACCTGTCGGTAAATGGCAAAACAAGCCACAAGCCGTAAGTATATCTGACTAAATTATTTTTCTCACTTATGAGAAACTATTTATTACTCACTATATTACTATTCACAATATAAATAAAATATATTTATATTTGACATAAACGCTATTTATTTGTAAAAGAAATAAAAAAAATATTTCTGTTATAAAATACGGATTTTGTCTAACTTTGAGGATATCCTTATCAAATAAAAATGTAAATAAAAAATTTGATTCTTAATTGAAGATTCAAGAAGAGTAAGCATTCACTTACCATCAGGTGGACTGTTTGCTCGTTTAACATCCCATTTTATAAGAAATAACTGATGTATTGGATGTGTCATAAACTATAACTCGTGTGTTATATAAAAATAGTTTTTTGCTATTTTAAAATAGCGCCATCTAGGCAGTAGTAGCAAAGTAATTAGTTGATTGCCAAAATAATAACTTTTATATTTAGAAAATAACGCTTAGGAATAATATAAAAACAACTCAAAATGGTATAATGTAATTTTTAAATCCCACTACAATGTAAATTTTAACTTTTCATAGCTGGAAAAGGGAGCATTATGCCTACTGAGCAGCTCCTATGATAGATAGCGTAATGATATATATTTATTCTAATGGCTCAACCCTTACGTAACACTGTAATGAAAATTCCATAGAAATCCGTTCACAGGTTTTTTCATGATGCTTACGCAGACACACAGACACAGACAATGTTTCCAAAAAGTTTTGTTTTGGAAACTGTATCGATAAATATAGAGTGGCGGTACATGTCTGTAAGGTTTTACTTTAACTATTTCAGTATAAGAATTCTGGTAATGCTAGAAGCATGCTGCGACGCATTAAGAGTCTATGCAATTTAAGTTCTGCATATCACCTCGATGGGTATTAGTCAATCGCAAGCGCCTCCTTCATCATATATTACATTTCTACACCCCATAAACACCCCAATACCAATGCAAAAATACAGAAAATATAAAACAGATGAACTTTTTCTAATTTAAATCACGACAGTTAGACCATTTATTCATATTAGAATCCCAAATTTAGACTGTAAAGTGACAGTTAAAGTTTCAGTGAAAGTAGAGATGCGCGAGACGCTTTGAAATTTGAGCACATTAAACTTACTAATTACCGACCTGTTATTTTTATAATCTGTAAAGTTTCTTTTCTCTTAGTACTGACACTTATTAGTTGTTCTAAGAGATTTTATACACGGAGTTTTAAGTTATTTGTATCAAATGAGTTAATTATTACCATAAAACGTGGAAGAGCCACGCTGCAGCTTTATGATTGTTGTAGCACGAATAGGTCAACTCGACCTGGGTAAGGCCACACTCTTACAGAATACCAACGTAAAATAGCAGCTTGATGCCAATATACATATATATATATATATATATATATATATATATATATATATATATATATATATATATATATATATATATATATATATATATATATATATATATATATAAATATATATATTTCACGTGTTCTTCTAGTCCAGATTTAAGCTCACTGGATTATAAAGTAATTATCAAAAAGTGTATTATTAATTTTATAAAAAGTTTTTGACAGAAGTTATGATTCGAATACATATATATATATATATATATATATATATATATATATATATATATATATATATATATATATATATATAATGTAACTATAGCGTGCGCTGGTTTGATACAGGCATTAAAGTCTCTGTATAGGGACTCGAGTGCTTTTGTTAGAATCATCGGGGTCTACTCGGACTGGTTTGGCATCCATAAAGGTGTCAGACAGGGCTGTGTAGCTTCCCCGTGGCTGTTCAACCTATTTATGGACAGCTGTTTGGAAAATTTGAAAGTTGAAGAATGCGGGTTAATAATGGGTGAGTTAACCATGATCAAGTCATACTTGCGTCGTCGGCGGCCGAGTTGCAAATGATGGTTGCATTAATGAACAGGTCATTAAAAGAAAGGGGAATGAAAGTGAACGCAAGTAAGACGAAAGTGATGGTTTTTGAAAGAGATGAAATCAAAACGGTATGTGAAATAAGAATAGAAGGAGAGTTAATTGAGCAAGTGGATGAGTTCGTATATTTGGGATGTGTATTCAGCAGGGATGGGAGATATGATAAGGACATTGAACGACGAGTGAATGCAGGAAATAAAGTAAATGGGGCTCTACACTCTATTGTGAAAAGTCAGAATGTGTCAAAAAAGGCACGTATGGCAATTCACA